CATGTGGCCGACTGCTCGCCCTTGGGCCACAGCGCCATGCATCAGTGGCCTGTTTTTCCATGACAAACAGGCCGCAGCACTTAGAGTGGGGACAGGGGATGTGCAAAGTGCAATGACCCTGCACAGTGTACATGACTAAGAATCACATTTAGCATGTTGTCTTGGGGTTATAACAGGGATGATTTAAGATGTTGATGATAGGCAGTGTGCTTTCTGTACTCATTTGATTTATTGTGCTGTTCCCTGAGTGTGGGTGGCTAGCCCATCTGATTTCTTAGAACAATGTGAAATGCCATGCTCCTTTGCAAATTGCACTGGCATCTTATATGACTGCAACATTTAGTTTTTAACGGGCAAAAAAAAGCCTAATGCATCTTTGCGTTGACATTGGCCTTGGCAGGAGATTTGCTCTGCTAGTGTCCTTCTAGTTATTTAGTCTAACAGACTTAAGCGCAATGCTCTAAAATAGGTAAGAAAAAAAAAGTCAAATAATAAAATTCAAACTAAGCAAAAGGTGCAGTTACATCTACAAGCAAAAGACCCAAAAGTTGGTTTCCAGTCCATCAAAGCAGATTTTGCCTCACATAATAACAATAAAAGTGACTTTTTCATTACTTTGTGGAGCAGAACAAACAGTAGATGCATTCATTTGCATAAAATGATGAGAGTGGCTCCATGCAGAACAAAAATCATATTGATATAATAAAAGCAACTGCTTGGCTCAACCTTTATGTTGCAAATCTATTTGAAAAAGCTGTCAAGTGCATTTTTTTTGCAATAATGTGATTTACACTATTTGCCTGCAAATCTGATTCGTTATAATTATCTACATTGCCATATTGCCTTGCTACAGGTAATTCATCATAATTCATTAAACAAATTGAAATGTTATCAAAGGCAGTTGGACAAAGCCCTTGTTCTCATTAAGTCTAAAAGACAGTCTTGTATTTATTTATTTATTTTAATTACACAATTTAACCAATGTGCCTTGTCAGTAATACAGAGCATTTACAACACCAGCAGCTATAAAAACAAGTTGTTAAATATACTAATGCCATAGACAGGAAGTACACAGAAGTCAATCGCACTCAATAAGATCCCAGGATATCACGTTCCTCAAATCAGATAGCCACTCTTGTGTCAACACACTACAGAAGCTCCTCCCTGCTGCCCGGGGAGGATAGGATTCACAGCATCCAGCAATTATCTGTAATGTGGGAGAAAAATCAATGTGCCCATGGAAAGCTGCTAAGGTCACCAAGCCGACGCTGTCACTTGAATCAGGAGCTCAGTGTTGCTGCAGGCTGGGCTCCAAGCCTCTCGGCCAGAATTTGTGAGCGCACGCATCATTTCTAATGCCATAGATTAGGGTATTATTAGCCAGACAATATGCAGCATAATTGGTTTTTGCATGTGATCATGGCTGAATGGAAATTTATCAAAAAAAAAAAAAAAAAAAAGCCATTAGTTACTAGTTTGAAATATAACTCCCTACTCAACTTTTTCAATTTTGTCACCACTGTTCCAAATAAACAATATGCATAGTACTTTGAATGCTATGCATATTAGAGAATTATTAGTTTAGTTTTCATGCCTCAGTCCAAAAGAAGTTACACATTACTGCAGGCAAAGTTACACCTGACAAGATTTACTGTCTATAGCAGAGTGGTTTGATTTGATTTGACACACAATTTTCTGTAAGAAACTTATACCACAATCAAGTAGGTGACATATTTCAACCCCAAATAATTTGCACATAAACTCATGCATCTTTTGTTAGTCACAAAAAAAGTGCAACAGCTTTTGACTCACCTCTTCTGCTGCCGGTATCTATCCAAACTGCCACCAAAACAAATTTCATGTCTGCCTGTTTTGCCAATTTCCATGTTTTCTCTCTCAGGTATGAACTCCCAACTGGAACAGTGTGAGTGTGCCCGGTCTGTGGGTGACAAGATCCTGACAGTACGCTAAGAGGAGGGAGGGGCAGGCCTCCTTGAAACATTGATAGTCTGGCGTAAATTCTATTAACAGCAACACGATATTGAGAAGAATGAAAAATCAATACCTTGTGGCCAGTAATGTTTGAAGGATCAGGCCGAGTGGAAAAGTGAGATGGCATGGTGTAGCTGTAATGCAGAGACTGCTTCTGTAAGTGGTTAATCAGGTGCGTGTCTGACATCTTGATTGCATTTTCCTCTCACCATTACGCCCATTTTCTCCATTCGCTGTAGAGAAGATGTGCTATTAAATGTAAGAGATGGTAATCTGAGAAATAATAAAAGCCTCCAATCTGATATAGATGCACTATTCTAAAGAGATTAAAAACAGGGTTTTGTCTTCCCTTCTCGCGTTTCAGAAGACAAACGAATTTTGCTTCACTTCTGTGCCAAAGGCGTCAACACTGGGGCTGCATACCCGTGAGCCATGTACACGTTTGAATCTTGAAGAGCACAGCACAAAAATGTTGGGGCGTCCACGATGACTGGATGAAACTTTTGCATGCTGCAGCTTTAGAGTGAAACCTCCATTTTTTGTGTTTTAACCTTAAACAAAGGAAACTGGATCTGCACAACTGTAACATAATCATATAGTTTCTCCCCTCTGCGTCACAGGCTTAAAAAAAAAAAAATCCTCGACACTATTAGAAAGCTGTCTCCACGTTTATGCACACTGACAGCTAAACAATAGTTACCATAAACAGAAAGAGCAAACGCACCATTTCAAAAGGTGACACTCTGTTTTTGGTTTGTCCCTTTGGGACAGGCTGTCACTTTAATGTGGATTATTAAAGGTTCATAACACAGTGATGCCATTAGGTGCTTGAATTAAACATGTGCTTCACAGTCCACCAGCACAGACAAGTGACAGAAAAGAGTTACTGCAGTAAGCTGAATTAGACTTATTATGCAATGTTTATGTTTTTGTATGGTCTTAGATAAAAATGTGCAGAGTTTATCATGCAGGAATTTGCAGCAATGCCATGTTCTACAGTGTATTTGATTCCATAATGGTTATATCATAAAGTAATTCCTGACAAAAAAAGAGACACATTTGCATTTTTTCTAACAAAATGCAAAACTGTGCAAAATATAAATGCCAAAAATGCGCTGAACCCCTGCTTCTTAAGAATTAGATTGAACAGAATCTATTAGCCCTCTAAATGCATATTCATTTGCTATTGTGATGTATTGTGTTTTATAGCATCTGAATACCGCCATTAAGTCAGAATACACTCTTGCATATTTAGGACCCTAAGGAGCGGCTATATTGATAAATTTCTGTCTTGAAAAGAGAACAGATTTAATTTAACTGCATATTAATATTTTCAGTTGTGTTTAATCAAATTGCCCTCAGCTAACCTGAGGCTATGTGACATCTCAGCATAAATATTCTATACAATGCGCACATGTGGCTAAAAGGTTGCTAATAAGTTGCAGATACTAAATGCAAAGATGGCTAGTCTGTCCAAAAACAGTAAAATCTCCATATTAACAAATAGAGCTGCATACCATGCCTTTACTCATTTGGCAAAGTGAGTAATTTAATGCCATCTAGTGGTCTGCTGTAAAGTTCTTGTTTGTTCAAACCAAATAAAGCATATAATCTCTCAGCTCTTGCCATGCTGACTCATACAATGAGGCACATTCTTGTACACATAATTCAAATGCTTCCCATTTAAAGTCTTTCTTAAACAACCAGTAAGCCTCAAAATACAACACATATTATTATGTTTCTAGAGTTTTAAAAAAATCTGCACTGTGCTCTTCATATTTTCATCCCAAATTGGAGAAGTCAGTACTACAGAATCTCAGTGACCCACGTGACTTAAGTAAAGAAGTGATATAACTTGCTCTTTTGTGCATGGATGTAAAAAACCTAAACCAAACTGTATTTTGCCAGGTATTCCAAAAGTCCACACAGCGTGTGTGACCTAAACACTTATACGTTACAAGGCTAGGTCAATGTAAGCTGCATCTATCCCTCTGAGAAATGACAGAACGGAAAGTCTGATGAGAATCTGCAGGGAGTCTTACGCCAAACCACGCCACCACCAAATAAGTGGATCAAACGCAGGGCCGCTCTCTTATCACCACTTCCCCTGTCTGTTTGGTGGGCTCTGGTATCTGATCAGTCCTTATCGTGCCCATACAGTGCTGGTTCACATGTCATGTTATCACACAGGTCCCTTCCCCGGGGCTCCCACAGGAAGAGCCTGTTCCGAGGGCACTGCATGCCATGTATCTCAGCTGCTCTATGTTGAGCTCAGGGTGATGGAAGAGAGGATCATGAGGTGGGAAAAGATCCGTGTAATATTTCTGTCTTTATTGTTGCTAAGATGTAAGGTTTAACACAAGAGAGAGACAAAACCATACTTTGGTCTTTGTATTCATGGTGTGAATGTGTCCCACAGAAAATTAATCTACTGGCAGTTTCACTTTACATAAGTGTAATGAACACAGGCCCAGTTAGTGTAAAATGGACTTCACCATATTACCAGATCACAGAAAGACATATACTGTACATTTGTAGTCTTACAAAGAAGATAAATTAAGCTTCTTTCTAACAACTCTTTCAATTAAGTTAATGAGTTCATACTGTATGTAATAAATATGCAAGCAATATTTGGATAAGGTGTAAAATAGTCCAACAGTCTCATTTTTATTCTACAATAATGATTGTTCCAGCTTTCTAGGAGTCTCTCTAGTGATTTATTATTTTTGCATTGTGTTTTACGCTTGTGTACACGATAAAAATAAATAAATAAATAAAAAATAAAAATTCAGCTGAGCCGCAGGAGGAACTTAAATGCAAGCTTTCTGAGTCACAGCCTACTCTAACTCCTGAGTGTATTGGCTGTTTTGGTGTTGGGGGCAAATTAACATAACTTCTTTAAATGGATGTTAAATGATGAAAGCAGGAAGCAGTGAGTCAGAGTGTTGGGAGGTGGAGGAGGCGACCTGGGACTCCAGGCGCGTATTTTATAATTCATAATACTGAACATGGTGACGCATTGGGGGACCTGCTGCTGCTGTGAAAAAGTCCTTCTTTCGCTCGTTTAGTTTGGACCTGATTATGAATCAGTTTTTCCACTTTTTTCTCCACAACCTGACAAAGTGAAGAAGATATGTCCGCTCAAGGACTGTTAAGCACTGTTTTTTCATGCTCGCTAAGCCCCAAAAGTATTACCAAGCGGAGACTGAGGCAGACCAGGAGCTTGGACTCGGCGTTGATGCGACATTGCGGTACCGAAACTGAGGAGACGTCGACTAAGGTCAGTTGACTCGCCAGGTTTGATTGACTGACACCACAAATATAGGCTAACAGGATTTTCGGCGTACTTCCTCTGGTGTTAAATGTATTAGAAGAGGTCGCAGACAGTGATAATGTTTGTAGGCGATTATTGTGTGAAATGTTTTTGATGCTGACATGTTTTACTAAACTTTGGAGATGCACGTGTCCTAAAATTTAGGTTAGAATACAGATAAATATTAAAAATGTTTTTTGTACCTAAGCGTGCAAGAGCGAAGCACAAGACAGAACTTGTTTATACTGTTGCAAAATTCAGGAAGTAGTTTAAATTCCCGTATGGATGATATATAGCCATTTATTATTTTCTCTCAATTTTGTCTTTAAGGAAAACGCTGAAAAACGCTTTCAACAAATCATCATTATTATTATTTTGTATTATTTGATTTATTTTTGATTTTTAGGTGGGCTAAATATCATAGGAAAATCCTCAGTATTGCAACATCACCAAGTCCATGACTAACAGAGCTCTTAGTTTCATGATGAGATGTGTAGACTTTTGATGCAGTATGTGTGTCACGGGACAGTAAAAGTGATTCAACTGGTTGCTTTTGTCAAAGTGATGTCAGCACAAATCTTTGTCTTAACCAGCTCGTTGAACTTTGACACATTTGGCGAATCTGACACAGTGAGGGAAATCGTGTCGAAGCACATAAAAGGGCTGAAGTTTCTTCAGTATTAGTATTTTTGCTATTGTGTTTTATTTAGCATCCTATATAAAAATACAGCTGTTCTTAAGAACTCATGGTAACTGTTTGTACTTTATAATGGAAATGCATTACAGATGTGACATTCTAATAGGCTTCTAATAAATGTCAGATATCTGGTCTCTCTTGCAAGTCAGAACCTCAGAGCCTTCAGAAATTCAGTTTTCAGGGAATCTGAATGAAGCTGGTTTAAGCTGGAGACACACCCTTTGTCAGCGAAGACTTTAATGTGATTTATGACTTTTTGGAGTGTGTGCATGAGTTAGCATGCACCTTTTCTCTTTTTTCTACTGAGCATTGTTGAATGTTCCTTGTGTTGCAATAACAAGCTTAGACGTGCAGGCAAATAGCAGAGTTACTTTTAGTAATATTAATTTAACTGAGTGGGAGGAAGTATTTACACATTTATAGAAAGTGCAGCTGTGCAATTCCAGCACAAAACTAGGAAGAACTTCAGTCCCTTGAGCTGAAATCTGAAGTCTGAGATCATTTCTAGAGACCCACATGACCGGTGTTAGCTTACAGTGACAGCAAGTGCCTTACTGTATGCAAACTTTATTCAAGGTCACAAATCAAAGTCACATTTTTTGTTTGTCCGACAAGTGGTTCATTCGGAAAGAGTCGAAGTCTTCTGCAGAAATATTAGTAAAAACAGGCTGACAGCGTTTTTGCCTTTCCACAAAATACTGCTGTATCTCCACCCACTAAATTCCCCAACTTTGCTTTTACTAGTGTTTTAAATTACCTAAATGCCAACCGCTATTGATTTTGCATAAGAGAAGATCACACAGGCAAACAGAGGGCTTATAAAAAATATAACACTGGTTGACACTGCTTTTTAATGATGACATGATTCAAATGATCAGGATGATTGGGAACTCATTGGTCCGTCAGTGTGATCCTGACATTAAAAAACACAATCTTTTCTTGTTTAAAGGCATGTGTTAGAACGGTATTTTTGATCTATGTTATTAAGCGGTTTGCTAGCTCCATAGGTTGAATATCATTGTGTTTTATTAGTGGTGTACTCACTCAGAATCTCAACAATCTGAGTGGAGATGGAAAGCAGAGACATCTGGTTTACATGAAGAAAGCCTCTCTTTCTCACAGTACAGCAGCATGACCTGATCCTTGGCTACAGTCCCTCAGGCACATATTTCTTCCCACTAGAGACTGTCCGACAAGAGACTGCATGGCATGGGGCTAAATCTGCTGGCTTACAACTGCAGCACTACAGTGTCAAGTTTAGTGATAAATGTTAGATGTGAACATATGTGCAAAATCATTGTTTTATATCATTTTGTGTCACATTCACCCTTCCACTGGTTACATAATAGAAAAGTTACGATCTGCTTAGTGTAAGTTAAACTGTATTCTCAGCCAAAATTCCTGGATACTTACACTGAATAACTAAAATCCATTCATAAATTGGCTTCTATGAGCTGTTAAAAGCTTATGGATCACTTCTTTGTTTGTTTTTTTGTTTATATTATAGTTTAAGGGTGTTACCCCCCCCCCCCCCCCCCCCAATATCATGACAGTTGGTATGACTGCCCAACGCTAAGTCTGTAATTTTTTAATATGAGTGTGTTGGTTCTTTCTCACGTCCTTATAAGTACGTAGACTCAGTTGCAGTCATGGTAAGCGTCCGTTTGAGCTGTTTTTGATTTTGCCTTTTACTGGCTGCAATTGGACTGGAGATATCTGAAAAATGTTTCCTGACTTTTAAATTGGTGATGTGAAAAACTGCATATTTGAAATCATTAAGTATCTTTTTTGGCACTCAGTTTTAATATTGTTCACATGGAAAGTCACAGAGCGTTTGAAAACTTGAATGACTTAATAGAGCCAGATTAGATATCCAGCTATAAATTAGATCTAACATGGTAAATGGCAGGGTTATAACTGGGTTATTGCTTATCAAGCCTTTAGAGGGAGCCATGCATCATTTTGCAGGAGTAATGTAGTGAAGAAATGAGGATATTAATCACTGGAACGATGATTAGGGCTTGTTAGGAGATAATCTCCAAATGATATCCACACTCATCTTGAATTAATTACTTACTTATTAGTATATATTTTACAAACTGTATGCAATTATACTGTTATCAACTTTCATACTTGCACTGTTCATACACAAGATCATTAGTCCGTCATTTGCTTAAGCAGCATTGCTATTGGATCACATTATTTATTAACTTCATGCCAAGTAGGAGGAGGCTGAATATATAGGTTGATAGATTTTGTCAACAACATTAAAGCAAATTTGTTTCTGATGACTAGAGAGCTTCTTAATCTATTCAGGCCTTTTGCATCATATTTATGTATAGATTCTGACATAGAGCCTCAATTCACAAGCCTCCAAGAATGCAAGCAATTTTCAAGCTTTGTAAAACTGCAGTGTTTGCGGCATTAAAGTTGAAAATGAGAAATCACAATGAGCCTCAAAACACATCAGAATGGAGCCCTGCGCGTTGGGTATATTGTTTCATGTAGAAAAAGAAACAGTGCAGCTTTGGCGTCATCTGCATTCCTCTAAGCATCACAGCACAGAGATGGCCTGAAGGGGGAAAAAAAGAAAAGAAAAAGAGCTTGCAGGAAACTCAAAACTGCACTCTCGAATCTCACTAAAAGGAATTAACTTTATTAAACACTGGAGGAGGCTTATTTAAAGTGAAATCGAGCTTGTTTTCAGAACACTGAAGTTAGAAAATATAGAACTAACAATAGCGCTGAAAGCAAGACTGCAGTTAGAGCGCATAAAGGGCCCTTTTGAGTCACGTTTGTGACTCACAACTGAGTACGAGGTGTTTCACCAAATTGTCGTCATCTTTCAGTGTGCACGTAAGCGTTGCGCTTGCAACAGGAACATGTGGTTTCTGAAAATTAGCTCTTAAACTTTGACTGTTGTTGCATTAACTTAATAGGAACCGTATTGTAGCAGGGTAAAAAATCCAGCTGTTCCAGCTGTTGTGTTCCCAATGATATAACAGTATGATTATCAGTCAAAATCTGTTCCAGTGGATATGAAAAAAGCCTTTAAATGTATCCCTGTATTCACCTCTTTTTCCCAAACTACCTAATGTGGCGTGCACAATAAACAGTTGCTTAACTAACACATGAGCACGCACACACAGCTTTCGTCTATCTGTTTATTTTTTAGCACTTTAATGATTAACCTGCTACTATGATATTCGTTTTAGAGTAAATTCGATTGATCTCAGCTGTTTCTCAAGTTTTGTGGAAGAGCTTGCCGGTGATTCAGTTATCACTGCTAAGCTGTCCGAAGACCTCTCAAAGTGATGGAGGATTTCTCCACCCAACATTGCCATCACAATGTTTTGTGTCTGCTTCCTGTTTATCATCCTCCTGCAAAGCATTAAGAAAACTCATTTCCAGAGAATAAGTCTCAGCGCACTTTACAAGAAGATGTGGAAGAAAAATAAACAAGAAAAAGAAATTTGAGGCATGACTCTAGTACAAAGATATCTACAGGTTTTAAGCCTTGCTTTATTGTTCCTGTGGAAGAAGTAATTGAACTAAGCAAACCTGTAGATTGGAAAAAGTTTGGAATTGCAGATGGGAATGAAACTTTGTCTAAAACACTCAAATATTTTGAGTTTGCTTCTCGCAAGAAGCCTCTGCTTTCCAGAAAGGAAAGCTTAGATTTGTTGACTTGCGTAAAGCTGGGATTATAAAGTAATTTCAAAGTTAAATATTCATTAACTCACAATTGTCTGTAAGTAGAGAAAATTAAGCACTGTGGCTTCTTGGTAGAAGTGAGCATTTACTGAAGATTACTCCAAAGACGCAAAGCAGAATGCTCATTTAAGTAGATGTTGTTAACATCTCTTTTCATCAGTCTCCGCTGTGAGCAAATCAGTGAACAGACATGTTGACGTTAAAGTGTATGGGTACTACAAAGGTGTGGTACATTGGAGGACTGCTTTGTTGCCTCTGGGCCATAACAGCTTGGCATCACCCACATGAAAATTACATTAACTCTTTTACAGGATAAAATCACAATGGCTGTTTATGAGTTGAAGCTCAGCATGTTAATTGTTTATGTGTATTAACATGAGAACATTTCTGTGTTAATAGTAATAAATACTTGAGTTTCCAGGAGATCATATCACACCTAATAACCTAAAACGGTTCACATGCTTTTCATCTCTGTAGCTGCTGGCCCTTTATTCTGACTACCAAGTTCTGCAGACACAATTCAGAAGCTTTAATTTCAGCACTATGTCGACGGTAG